AGCAGAACAGGCCAAACGACGAAGTACACTGCTGAGGGGAGCAGTGGGCAGATCAGGAAAGTCTGCTGAGCCATGAGGTCACCTCCGGGGTGGGGATCGAGGTCGTACTGAAGTGGCTTTAGCTTCTTAGTGCTGCACTTTAACATGCTACACCACCAGGGAGGGCCCCAAAATTGTTTTTTAAAACTCCTTTTAAACTCAGCAAAAGTTTTCAATTCAGAAAACTGAGGTATTTTTCTTGTTCTGAGAAACTAGACTGAATTTTCTTGTTGATGTACTAAATATGTCTAAATAGAAGGGGACCCACACATACTACCCAGGGATAAGGTTCAAAACAGTTTCTGATCAACATAAGTATATGTGGATAATTAATATACTGATAAAATATATAGTTAAATGTCCACTTACATTTAATTTCTTAGTTGATACATACTTTGAAAAATTCTATCAAATGCTACATTACAAATATGCCTTTTTCTCCACGTGCTCATTTCATTCAACATTATTTAAACTGAATCTTCACTGTATTTTCATTACCAAAATTTACCTTTTGAGTCCTCTACACCATTAAATCAATCCATACAACTACAACACTTAGTATAGTGCATGGCACATGGTAAGTGTTTAATGAGTCTTAACCATGTTATTTCTTAGCTATGGAAAAACAATTTTCTAAAAGTATTCTCATCCTCTCTTCCAAAATGTACAAGCTCTTTTAAAATACAGTAGTTTCTGATTCCAGGTGTGATGCTGGAATCTAATTTCAAGCCACATGTAGCACTTACATAAAATAATAACACTTTTTAAAACTAGCTCATAAAAATTAGTAAACTCCGTATTTCAATATTATAAGTGATATTCAAAAAGCTTTCTAAAATTTATTATTAAAGTAATATTGATTTGTAAAACTGCATAGGCTTCAGACATACAGCTGTATGAACATTATGATTACAAAAACTGAAAAGCTTCTTTACAATGCTATCAATTATTTAATTACCTGTTTCTTTTCACTGATTCTATCAGTAAAATTATAAACACCAAAACCATAAATATGAAAACCCACCAATGACAGAGGTTATTTCAAATTAATATATCTTTACCAAATAGTTTATTTCAAAACATATTAATTGAAAGAACAACTAGTAATGTGTAAAACTTTCTAAGAACAAAACTATTTTTTTATGAAAGACAATTTTAGGGGGGGAAACATGAATTATTATTTGCATGTAGAGAGTAATGCTATCAAGTATATGTGATTTTTTAATCAACGTAATCTGTACATGCCAAAAAGCATTCTCTATATTTTTATAGTTTCCTTTTTTTTTTTAAGATTTTATTTTATTTGTGCATACAGAGCTGGGGTACAGGCCAGAGGCTCAGGGGCAGTGAGAGGCTTCACCAGAGACAGAGCGGGGAACAGAACAGGCAGATCGACGAAGCACACTGCTGAAGGGAGCAGCGGACGGGTCAGGAGGGGTCTGCCACGCCATGTGGTCACCTCCGGGGCAGGCGGGAATCGAACCCATGAGGAAGCGGCTTTAGATTCTCAGTGCTGTGCTTTACCCCGCTGCACCACCAGGGAGGGCCCAGCATTCTCTATATTTTAAAAGCATCGGAAAACAGCTGAAAAGGTGGCTACATAACTTTTGTCAATGAAGTAAATAAAAGTGAGGTATCCATTCCATTCTATAATACAGATAAAGCTTCTTATTACAGTTTTCTACAAAGCACAGTTATTATGTGATACAAAATGGAACCTAGGAGAATAAAAACTCAGATATTAATAACTTTACCTGGTATTCCTTTAGCCAGGAGAGCAGTCCCGAAAAGCTAAAACTGGCCCAATTTCCTCCATAGTAGCTTCTTCTGTAACAATGGAAAAATAAGCGGGAAGAAAAGAGTAAAAAAATCAAGTCAGTGACCCTCAATAAACGACCACTTGACTGTTTAACTCATTCCATTCTCAGTATCACTGCCTACATGTTAAAAGTACACACAACTGAGCTGTGCAGATCACTGGAAGTAGACTGAAACAGAAGATGCTATAGGCTACTTTTCTTTGTATATGAGTAGGAAAAAAAAAATCTTTTGACAACATCAGCCATTGCAGGTTTGTTGCAAGTGAATAGAGCATGTACACATATGCAGGCATGAAAATATACCCCAAAATTATGTACTTAATTTAAATAACTGACATATTGATAGAATCTGAGAGGTAAAAATCTTTGCCCCTCTTAGAGAAAAGAAAACATGAACAAATCTGACTCTTGGATTAACAAAACTGGGTGGATAGAAAACTTTGAAAGAGCTCAAAGAAAGCCAATGGAGACTGCTAATTTTCTAATAGTTAATATCCATCGCCACCTTCCCTATCAAACTCATCTCCCTTATCCCTGTCTCTTGCTCACTCAATACACATTCTCTCTCCCCCACTCTCTTCCTCTCACTCTTGCTTTCAGTCACTCACGCACACACGCACACACACACACACACAGTAACTCTACAACTAGTGGAAGGCCTGTCACTTCTCTTAGCATTCAAGGCCAAAAGTAAAAGTAGATCCTAATACACAGTGATTCAAGTCAAGACTTTTGCAGTAAGTACAGTAAATATAATATTCCCATTGATAAGTGGGTGAGCAATTGTTCTTCCTTCAACAGCCTTGTGAAGATCTTAGAGAACCTAGAACTCTCAACTAGGATCAGGTAAACTCCTTAGACACTGAACTTCTGATTAACTTCCTTAAATAACAGATTTGGGTGATGAGAAACTCATGGGGATTAAAACTACTACAATAGCTACAAAAAAAATTGATTTGCGGCAACAAACTCTCCAATTATGCACTGTGTAACTGGGTTTCCCAATCCTTGCAAAACTCTTTGTGTTAAATGATTCTCTGTAAGAATAATTCCCAAAATATACTCCATTGCATCTATAGCTTCCATTCTGATTCTAGGGTGAGAGAAATTCTGATTTAATTTTGTTTTTATTTTTCCTCATCTGTACCTTAATGAAATATAACTCTACACAAAAGCTCTCATTAAAACAAAGCAAAGACTAAAATCTTTAATAAACAAAATTTACTCAATCATTATGTTACTGGATATTCTCTCAAAATTCTGACATTAACTTATGCTCAATTTTAATTGCTGACATGGGTCTGAAGAACAGTCAAATTTTAGGTTCATCTGCAGCATTATACTAACAATCACTGCTTTGTTCTACCAGAGAAAATTGTTAAAAAGAACATTCCTGGGAAAGTATATCTGATACTCTAGATTACTACTTTATTCATAATCTGATAGTTTTTGGAAATAATGCAAATTCATACACTGTTCAGAAATCGCTAGTGGGCTTTAAAATGAAGTTAGAATTTTAGCAACTCTAGCAATTCTAGATGATCACTCCTTGCTAATACTTTGGAATCAAGAAGCATGGAAACTGAAACCTTGGGTCAGAGGCAACAGTATCAGAGAAGAAGGTAGGCAATGTTCAGGATGAAATAGTAGAAAAAAAAAAAGGGAATGATAGAATCCACATTTTCCTACAGTAATTTACATTTGCCCCTGCATGAAAATAACATAGAGAACTTCTACCATCATTTCTCATCTTCTAAATAGAAACAAAACAAAATTAGAATATCCTGGGAGTTTGGGGGGAAAAAAGTCCACCCTGAAACCACTGTCTTTATATCTTTTGTTGAGATAGTTTGGTTTCTTTTAAGCCTTCATAAGTTAACAAGCTCTGATTCATATGTGAAAGCCTTAAGAGCTATGTATTTTTAGTAGATAAACCAACTGATAAGTAACAAATGCATAACACAACTCTAGCATTGAATGAATGTAAATAAAATTTTTCAGACAAGAAATTCCACAAAACACATCATTTAATAAATAATGGGCTAGGCACAAAAAAAAGACAACATATTCACAAAATTGACAAAGAGCTGGTAGACAAACAAAAATCTCTTTCAGAGATATCATCAGATGGTTCCTTGCTTTGCCCCAAAGAGAAACATCTAACAGTTGACCAGAGGGACAATTTTTAATTGTCCCTCAGAGTTCCATGACTCGAGGTTTGTTTAAGCCACCCCTTGGAAATCAAAGACTAATACAGACTGTACAAAAGTGACTGAGGAAATTCACATTTCACTGAAAATGAATTAGGTGGAGAAACACTCCTGGAGAAGGCAGCCAAGGCAGGAAACTAAAGTGGCAGACTGCCAAGTCACGTAGGGTCCTAAGGATGAAAGTAGAGACAATACTATTTGGGGCACATAATCTTGAAAAAAGGGAAATGCTTATGAAAGAGCTGGGTTATCTCCACATAGGCTGTTGTACCTGGTGAGCAAAAGACCAGAGATAGCACCATCCACTATCACTTTACCACCTCCCTAGACAAGTGCTGACCTCATGAAGTACATAGGCTGCAGAGTTACAGATCTGGAAGCTGGGAGAGGAATGAGAATACTGCTACCACAAACACAAGCAAAGTGCACTTAGCACGTTTCCACAAGCAGGTAGACCAAATAGGTCCCTCCTCCACACTAGACTAGGTAAATGCAAAAATAATTTTCAATACCTATAGAAACAAGCACAACAAAATAATGGAATCAAATCAAATTAAAACAGAGCACCACCTACAAGGAAAGTAATCCAACTCTAAGTTATTATTTTAGATACTAATCAAAAATAGGGAAATATAAACTAGAAAAATGAGTACACACAAAAAAACCAGTAACACATGGAAAATAGAGATCTCAAGGGAATACAGTATCACAAGAGCACAATTCATCATAATCCACCCACAAAGACATGAAAGATAATATCTCCCTATCAGATAGAACTTTAAAAGTGTAATAAGGGAGTTCTAGAAGATAAGATAAAACTCAGGAAAGTAAATGAAGCTGCTACAAGAGAACTGAAAATATATATATACAAATAAAGTTGAAAAAAAGTTAATGAGCTCAGAAATTGAAGTTTTCAATAAGAAAATAACAATTTCAGAATGCAAAGAGGTCAAGAACTCTAAAGAAAGCCATAAAGGCAGAATAGACCAAATGGAGGATGGAATCAGTGACCATGAAGATAGAAATGAAACAAGGTCCAAGGCAGCAGAGAAATAAGAAATCCCCTAAAAAATGAAGTGCAATAAGAACTATCTGACAGATTATGAATACAAAATAAGGATAGTGAATATTTCAGAAGAGAGGGGAACAGAAAACTTTTAAAAGAAAAATACTGTAATAGAAGAAAATCATCCAGACCTGGGTAAGGAACTAAATATGCAAGTCTATGAAGCTAAAGTAATTTAGGAAAAAAGTAATGATACTAACAACAATACACAAAGTAATGAAATTACACAGAGTTCAAGACCAAGAAAGATTATTAAAGGTGACTCAGGGGACAAAAGCAGGTAACTAATAAAAGTATTCCCATCAGGCTTTACTTAGACTCCACAGCAGAAACTGTGAAGAGATTGGGATAGCATACTCAAAATACTCAAACATAAAAAAGTCAGTCAAGAATATTATATACTGTGAGACTTGCTTTCAGGTATGAAAGGAAAAATAAAGCAATCTTAGACAAAATCTGAAGAAGTTTGCCAACATTAGACCTCCCCTATAAGAAGTGAAAGGAATTTTCTGATCTAAATTTAAGATCAATCAAAAAGATTAACAAAGAAATAGTGAACCAGAAAATGAAACACAAAATGGCTATACTAAGCCCTTTCACATCACAACTCACACTTACTGTATATGGGCAAAACTGATTAATCAGTAGGCAAAGAGTAACTGTCCCTAGTGGCACAGGGGTTAAAGACTCAGCACTATCAAGCTATCACTAGTCACTGAGGCATGAGTATTATGACCCACCAGGGAACTAACCCACAAAGCAAAGCAGACCTCTCCTGTCTAGGCTGCTGCTCCCCTCAGCAGTGTGTTTAAGTAGATCAGCCTGTTCTGCTCCCCACTCTGTCTCCAGTGAATCCTTTCACCCCCTGCATTTCTGGTCTAGACCCCAGTTCTTACATGTATAAATAAATAAATCTTTAAAAAAAAATTATTGTCTCCATAAAGTGTATATAAGCTCCAAGACTAACACGACTCAAAGTAAATAGGCATAAATAACCCTACAAGCAAACAGGACCCCAATAAAGACAAGGGCCATCATAATTCTATATGATAAAAGAGAATTCCAAAGAAAAATGGAAACCAGATACAGGAATGGTTATTATGTAATGAGTATACAGAGTTCAATCATATATATATACATATACATGCATATTAATACCTATATCAGGAAGAAAGGAAACTCGTCAATACAGATGAACCCAATAAAGGGGCATCAACATAAGAAATTAGCAACAAAAAATATAGACATTTATAGCAGCAAAAAAAAAAAAATACTAAGAGGCTTCAATATCCCATTACATCAATAAACAGATCACTTAGACATAAAATCAACAAGAAATGAAGAGCCTTACTTAAGGAATTAGACAAGATATGATTAACAGACATTTATTACATGTTTAATAGACATTTGGAGGCAAAGTACCCCCCAAAAGTTGAGATTACATTCTTCTAAAGTACCCATGGAACATTTCTGAGGATTAACCATGTTTGGGGGTCACAAAACAAGTACCAATAAATTAAAAGATGGATTCTTACCCAGTATCTGGCTATAATAATATCAAACAAATCAACCAGATACCGTATTAAATATGTAGAGAATAAATAACATACCACTGAATGACCATTTTGTTAGCTAGAAAATCAAAGGAGAAATTAAAAAATAACTAGAGATAAATAAAAATAAAGACATGTGGCCCTCTCTGGTGACACAACGGGTTAGGATGCAGCACTA